CATGGGGCACAATGCAACACAGATGGTGCACTCTTACAGATGAAGCATGATGGCTTTACATCTTGACCCTTCGGGTCAGATGACCTAATAAATGTTAATCCAATCTGTTCATCATTTCATGGACATTAAAATTCACTGATAAACAATAGCAATGAAATCAATGAAGATAAAACCCCCATGAAAACAAACGATTTTATAATCAAACAAGACGTTGATGAAACAAATCTCAATTGTTTCAAGTTTCCCAAAATCAATATTTTTTCGCAATATAACCTTTGTTGCAAACATTAAAATTTTAAAATCAAAAGTGATTTTTAAAATTTTTTTTTAATCTTTGAATCTTTTAACTTCAAATTTCATGAATTTCAAACTGAAAGCTGATATTACCCACTAGTATATTTTAAAACATAACAGAATTTCATATCAGCACACTTTGTAGTTATTTGAGACTTACAGCAGTGAAATAAGAATTCTGTAATAAAAAGTTTCACAGGGCCTGTATCACTTTTCTGGTGATAACAATTTACCTTTTACCTATAAAATAAATTTGTTTAAGGAATCACTTGAAAATTTTATACATGATTAGTCACCAAGTTTTGTTTCTTTGATATATCTTATATGTTTGTGGCTAAGTTCCTCTTTAAGAGATATAAAACATCATGGCTCACACATCACATACACCTATCATATGTACATTTTAAAGTGGTGACTCCATGTGGTTGGGATAGTGACTCCATGTGGTTGGGCTGGAGACCCCATGTGGTTGGGATGGTGACCCCATATGGTTGGGCTGGTGACTCCATGTGGTTGGGCTGGTGACCCCATGTGGTTGGGATGGTGACCCCATGTGGTTGGGCTGGTGACCCCATGTGGTTGGGCTAGTGACCCAATGTGGTTGGGCTAGTGACCCAATGTGGTTGGGCTAGTGACATCATGTGGTTGGGATGGTGACTCCATGTGGTCGGGCTGGTGACCCCCACACATTTTCAAATCCACTCAGGGAGAGGTGAGTGCACTACTACTGCATCATCTGATCATCCTCTACACAGACATATACTGATTACATAGTGATTGATAGTGTCAGAAAAACGCTTCATCTTACATTACCTCCATTTAAGGAATCTCATCATTGAGTAATTGTAGGTAAGGATGATACATAGCTTGTTAGCTTTTCATTAGACATCATTTTACAATAGAACCAGTTCTATTCTAAGCACAGTGGATACTGCAATGAATAATGGTAATCTATTTGAAAATGAAAGTACAAAGAGCACTCGTAGATGCTGTGAATGATGGATTGGAATAAAGGAAGTGGTATATCAGTTTAGAATAAGGGGTGGGGGGTGGGGGAGAGGGGAGGGAAACAAAGAAAGCACTGAAAAAGTCAAAATATCCTATTCACCACAAGCACCTGGATTTTTCTTTTTTTAATTCTAATAAATGAGACGGAGCTCAGTGTCAAGGAATATGGTAGTAGAATTCTTTAGTGATCAGTCAAGCTAATGCCGCGTATGGATGTTCTAGACATCTAGGTTGATTTACGTAGTATAATTAGGTAGTATGTTGGTGTAAATTTAACACTTATTAAAGAAGAAGCCTGGTTAACTAATCAGCATTTTGGATGTGAAGTGAATACAAATCAAGTACACCTTGTGAGACCCCTCGGACAATCTCAGTTGTTGATTACTGTTTGTCATGATTCTGAACAACAGTACCAATTCATTTTTATTTGTTTTCATAGAATTCTTTGTTAATATTAATCTCTAAAGGTTGACTCTGAAACCATAAGGTGAAACAGGATTGATTGCAAACTTGCTTTAATTGTTAATGTTAAAGATGGCCATCTGACAGCAGTTTTGTAACTTCAATCCTGGCTGTTTCTACACTTAAATATCACAGTGAAAGAGGGCAATCTATCACTCTGTCAAAAACATTTTGCCTCATATAAATTTCTGAACTGTGTCAGGCCAAGATATGAGATGAAGATGACTAACATAGATCTAAACACATCCAGAATCGACCTGTCTCTAGAGCGATGACAAAAGTGGAGCTTTTAATATCCTGTCCCCGACCTGGATGACAGAGGATAATAAAACATATGAATCTTTCTGAATATCTCAGAATAACACTGATATTCATCTTGTACACATTTCAAATGTAAAAAGAAGGAAATCTGGGCTCAGACTTCTCAAATCATTGTATGATTACTGTATATAACCTATGAATTGCCCACGTTCTTACAAGGTCTTTCAGCCAGTCGATAAGCAAATTTTGTCCCCAAGCAACAAAAAAAATACTGATAATTATCATTGGTTATAATACTGAACAACTTTACCACTGCAGTCTGGGATAGTCCTGATCTTGTTAAGCGCTCTGCCAATTTTTCAAAATTTTTAGCACCCTGGGCACTTAATGGATTGATGATTACAGTAAGTCATAAAAGCTATTTCACGAGGAGAAACGAAGGCAAATATCGCTGTTTACTCCACTCGTTAAGAACAGCAATGCATGACGGGTAATTAAAAAAGGTGACTGTATAACAAATAAATTTTTTATATGCCAAGGACCTGAATAAGAGGAAGACTTGTCCACTTTGACAAGTTTCCGCAGAATCATGTAGGATTATATTGTGTTCTTAACAGAAATACATTATAGATCTAATGACATGGGTGCTTACACACCTTGACCGGAATGTTGAAGCCAGCAGAGAAACTGATGGTATAAATACATACATCTATTGATATGTCACCTTGCTGACAAAACATGTTAATGATACAATAAAAGGACATATATACACAAATAAATTTTAAAATCTAGAACAAGAATTCTGCATCATCTTGTAGCAGACAACAGCACCAAGAATAGTAAATACTTCACCATATTGGGAAGTTACTTGACATGAAATGAAAGACTTCTTGAATTTTGAAAAAGAAATAACTAGAGGTTGTCAAATTATTTTCATCAAATTAAAATATGAAGACAATTTGGAAATCAAACTATAAACAAAAGTATGTTGTACTATCATTTAGCCAAGAATGACATCATAAACACAGCAACCATATCTTAATACAGATACCCCACTTTGATATAAAGATTCTGACTCAAAATCTTTATCATCATATAACTGTATTGTTGGTTATATTTTCAGGGCATAATAATCAAATCTAAACTAAAATCCTTATCATAGAAACCCTGCGAGCTACATCCTTCCCAAACTTTGGTAGACATTTTTCTTTAGATCATTTGACACAACCTTTACTGAGAGAGCGGTACAATGAGTCTGACCTGTTTGTGGAAGCAATGAAAAAATAATAAATGTCAAATAAATCGTGGACTAAAAACAAAGGGTATATATTAAGGAAATAAAAACTTTTAAAAGCACTTTCGTGGAACTGAACTTGTTTTATCTTTTGAGGGTAGTATAAATCTGACTGAAAAAGCCATCTTATCATCATCAAGACTTTTTATCTACGTTTTGTGTTTCTGTTTTAATGACAAATCATAACTGGATTTGTAATTTTGAAATTCTACTAAATGTCATATTTATTGTGTCTATGAAATTCTACAGCTGGTTCAACAATACATCATCAAAACACTTCTTATAGTCTTTCAGATATTGATCGACCAGTAGTCCACAGGAAGTAATGACTCAAGCTTTGCCATATAAATTTATGACAAGTTTTTGCCAGTCAGGTTTCTAAAATCAATATTTGTATATAAAGATGTTTTTTCATTACAAAATTGTGATAAATGAACAAAGACTTGTCAAAATATTTCTTCAGCAGGTTTCTTCTTACAGTACAAAGTTTAAAAGTGCACACTTCATGTTGGCTCTTCAAACAGCAATTTCTACATAAATATTTTGAAACCTATACATGAACTGTCTGATAATAAGTCCATGCCTGGTAATAAGCCCACCAATTTCTATTGAACTTCTTCAGTAACAAGAGACCACAAGGGTCTGTATCTTTCACCTGTCTTTGCTTGGCTGAAATTTAAAGGGACTTCTAAATATCCAAGTACACAACACACAATCTTTGGAGCAGGTGAGCAAAAAATGCCAACAAATGATTATCACTATTCTGTATTGAACTCCCTGCTGGATCAAGTGTTTGTCTTGGTCTAAAACTATTTTTTGAAGTATAGACATGGTTACGCTAATAGGTCAATATTAATTAGCATTACCTCTTGTATTGTGAATTAAGAACATTATCTTTTTTTCATGAGCAAATGCTCTTCAAATATTAGTCAAACATCCAGTTCTGAATAAACATCAGTGTACTAATATTAGCACAACAAACCTTGTGCAAAAACCATTAAACTAAGTTGAAGACTATTTCTACAGGAGATGAAGAGAAGTCTTGGTGCCAACAATTGTTTGATCTTTATTTGTTTTTTAAAAGTTTGATAATTTTCCTGCTTTCCTCTTACCTTCTCTGTTTTTGCTCTTAATGATAAGAAATTTGAATATTTATTTGCAGAAATAGCAATAACAATCTTTACTTGGCATAATCCAAGTTGGCTATCTGTCGGCCATTTTGTTTTTTTGATCAGTCCCAAGGGAAATTTGAGAGAGGTCTATCCAGTACTTCTCAAGAAACAGTGATAACAAACTTCATTCCGTGAAATCCAAGATGGTCATCTGTCAGCCATTTTGTTTTTCTGATACATCCCAAAATGAAACAGAAATACATAGGGACGAAGGGGAATCTTCTTATGAAAGTTTAGGGAGAGTCTTTTCAAGAAATTACTATAACAAAAATTCTTTATGCATAAACAATGAACAGATAATGAACCATGGATGAAGGGCTAAAAATCTAAAGCTGGTAAGTTTGGTGTATTTTCCACATATGAATTTGAATTCAAGGACACCTGTAACCTTTGCAATTGAGTCTACAGACTTTATAACCAATGTGGACAAAGAACGATATTAAGACCTTTAACCTTATGACCTCAACAGAGATACCTTGACCTCTAACCTGGTAACAATGCCAACATACCTGAGATGGTATAGAGATCCAGTGAAGCAGACGTCCGTCCCGTGAGTAGAAATGTAGCTCATTCCTGCATTGTAGGTTTGGCAGACGGATGAAACCCCCAACTGCCAGTATCTCACCGCAATTTGACCAGTCCATGCGGAGACCTGTAACAACATCAACAAGCAATAATATCAGTTACATATTCAACAACATTGGTCAACAAACAGGTTAACTAAACAGAAGAAAAGATGAACAAATCCTGTCCAAGCCAGTCATTTCCATTACACTTACGACTGGTTTTTCTAGGCAGGCCATTATTAGGGAAAAACTTGCCCCATATACCATATCTACCTGGCAATATGTTCTGTTTCAGAGATAAGTTCACTTAACCTATTGATGTTAAGTGGAATAAGCAAATGCTTCTATATACCATATCAAAAGTGTGGGGTGAGGATGGCAACACAACTGTTCTGTATATATCCAGAAGATAAGTTCACTTAACCTATTGATGTTAAGTGGAATAAGCAAATGCTTCTATTTCATTGTCCATACTCTATTATCAAAAGTGTGGGGTGAGGATCAGGCTCAACACAACTAAGATTACTTTATATATCCAGAAGTTAACTTTATTCTGTCTGTATCTATTGCTGCTCAGTAGAATACCCCTGCCTGTATCTATTGCTGCACAGTAGAATACCCCTGCCTGTATCTATTGCTGCTCAGTAGAATACCCCAGCCTGTATCTATTGCTGCTCAGTAGAATACCCCTGCCTGTATCTATTGCTGCACAGTAGAATACCCCTGCCTGTATCTATTGCTGCACAGTAGAATACCCCTGCCTGTATCTATTGCTGCTCAGTAGAATACCCCAGCCTGTGTCTATTGTTGCTCAGTAGAATACCTCTGCCTGTGTCTATTGCTGCTCAGTAGAATACCCCAGCCTGTATCTATTGCTGCTCAGTTGAATACCCCTGCTTGTATCTATTGCTGCTCAGTAAAATACCCCAGCCTGTGTCTATTGTTGCTCAGTAGAATACCCCTGCCTGTATCTATTGCTGCTCAGTAGAATACCCTGGCCTGTAACTATTGCTGCTCAGTAGAATACCCCAGCCTGTATCTATTGCTGCACAGTAGAATATACAACCAATGTCTTGTTTCTCCAACTGGAGTCAACGTAAAATGTTAATTCCAAAACATGCTTACTGCAGAAAAAATTCAGTATGAATCTGAAAATTGGGTGTTACTGGAATGGGACTATGAAGCAGTGACATCTTTATGCACTTTGTTCTTTTATGTACATTGAATTGGGATAAAATTACGTGTCGTGACAATATATTTTTCATGTTTGTTTAATTACAGATCATCAGTAGATTTTAATTAAGCTGTTATTAAGCAGTTTGACAAGCCTCTGATAAGATTTCCATGACCAGATTATGAATCATTGTTGCCAATGAGGTGATGTGTTTCACACACCACCTACTTTCTGTGCTGTCACATTATTTGCAATATAGAATGAGGTGCAATGAATGCCTCCATTAGGAATGACTGAAGTGCTATGTAATCATAGTCATAATGTCTGTGATATGAGTTTTATGTTTACAATAGACTTGAACACTGTCTGATAATATCAAGTAATTATTCACAAGAATAAACTCTGAAAATTCTGTTTTTTAATTGTGACGAATAGTTTCGAATGAGAATTTACGACAATATAACCTTGAAGCCCTTTTAAAACTGTAAAATTGTAAAAATTAAATGATCAGAGATAACAAACATTTGCCACTGAACCACAAATATTATAGATGGTGCCTCTGTCTACTTAGCATTGTTTACTCTCCAGCACTTTGTAGATAAGCACACAACTCTCACCATTTATGTAAGCATGCTTATTTATTGGCTGGGTTTATTGCCATGTGAATAGTCAGGGTCATTTTGGGGCTTGATCTTGTAGAACCTGGTGACTGCCTCATTGAACATCATGCAGGAGGCCAAAAGCAGCTGGCTACTCAGTTCAATTATGAGTGATTTGTCAAAGGTTACATTCATGACAGCATAGGATGAACTATTTCCATTTCATTTTCCGAAATTGCAATTTTACATCATATAACACTTCATAGCCAAGATATTTTCACCCCTGTACCATTTTACATGAATTCGCCTTAGACATTATGACTGGATACCAGTTTGATGTTCATCTTGGATAATTTCTATCTGTAGGAATTGACTTAAGCACTTCAAGTTTTCAAGTTAAATGTACCTCCCACTCAAGGTCAGTACATGTCAACAAATACATGTACCTATACAAGATATTATTCTAGAAGTCTGTACAGTGTTCCAAGAAGCCATCCACGTGTTGGATATATCGCAGATGACATCTGTATCATACTAGTAATTGGAAGAAGACGTGTGCTAACTGTACTGTAGGTAACCCACACACACCACTGATATGAACGACACTGTCGATCCCTACAGACGTTGATGGATAGTCGTGCTGAGAGATACTGGTATCTAAGGTAGTATTAGATTCCCCCTGATTGCTTTCTCGCACAAACGACTAAAGTAACTGCTGTTTATTTCGCTATTCAACACAAATTAGCCAAGGAAATTCTGTTTAAATTGATTGGAATTGTCCACGTATACCTTTCTTTACAACTACTCTGCCTACTTTTCCATATTCAATTGGCCATATCATTTATTATGAAATAAATGAAATTTATAATTGCAGCACTCGTAATGTGTACCAAATGACACCCACGTACTGAGGTACGCTTCCATTTTCATACTGAATAAAGCCAGCTAAATTCAAATGAAACCTGCTGATAGCACACCAAAACCACTAGCTATGGATACCTCTGACTCCATGTGACAATTTTCAATGTTTACAAATATACAGCTACATTGAAGATTTTTCAGACATCCAAAAGCCTTTAAACGCAAACTTCAATATAACAAATACCGATCAATAAAGGACAATAGATTTGGATCTAAATACAGTAGTTCAGAGTAATTTAACATCTGTATAAAGGTCACCTGTCTGCTCCCTTGAGTGGCCTTTATTGACAGGTTTGACTCTCTTAAGAGAGCAAACCAAGAGAGTTTTTTGGAATATTTTCTGTACCTGGAGGAAGGTTCATTCTACATGGCTGCAGATTTTATTACAAATATTCTTACATTATTATCTATAAGAACAAACACGTAATAAATAATATACTTTCTATAATATTTTACTAGAAGTATGTTTAGAAGTTCAACGTTGAAATCTCATGCCGAGTCTACACCTAACACCTTGATATGATACTTCTCTAAAGTCTCATGCCGAGCCTTCACCTATCACCTTGATATGTTACTTCTCTGAAGTCTCATGCTGAGCCTACACCTGCCACCTTGATAGAATACTTCTCTGAAGTCTCATGCTGAGCCTACACCTATCACCTTGATATGATACTTCTCTGAAGTCTCATGCCGAGCCTACACCTAACACCTTGATAGAATACTTCTCTGAAGTCTCATGCCGAGCCTACACCTAACACCTTGATATGATACTTCTCTGAAGTCTCATGCCGAGCCTACACCTAACACCTTGATATGATACTTATCTGAAGTCTCATGCCGAGACTACACCTACCACCTTGATATGATACTTCTCTGAAGTCTCATGCCGAGCCTACACCTAACACCTTGATATGATACTTCTCTGAAGGCTCATGCCGAGCCTTCACCTATCAGCTTGATATGATACTTCTCTGAAGTCTCATGCCGAGTCTACACCTACCACCTTGATATGATACTTCTCTGAAGTCTCATGCTGAGCCTACACCTACCACCTTGATATGATACTTCTCTGAAGGCTCATGCCGAGCCTACACCTACCACCTTGATATGATACTTCTCTGAAGTCTCATGCTGAGCCTACACCTGCCACCTTGATAGAATACTTCTCTGAAGTCTCATGCTGAGCCTACACCTACCACCTTGATATGATACTTCTCTGAAGTCTCATGCCGAGCCTACACCTAACACCTTGATATGATACTTATCTGAAGTCTCATGCCGAGACTACACCTACCACCTTGATATGATACTTCTCTGAAGTCTCATGCCGAGCCTACACCTAACACCTTGATATGATACTTCTCTGAAGGCTCATGCCGAGCCTTCACCTATCAGCTTGATATGATACTTCTCTGAAGTCTCATGCCGAGTCTACACCTAACACCTTGATATGATACTTCTCTGAAGTCTCATGCCGAGCCTACACCTACCACCTTGATATGATACTTCTCTGAAGTCTCATGCCGAGCCTACACCTAACACCTTGATATGATACTTCTCTGAAGTCTCATGCTGAGCCTACACCTATCAGCTTGATAGAATACTTCTCTGAAGGCTCATGCCGAGCCTACACCTACCACCTTGATATGATACTTCTCTGAAGTCTCATGCCGAGCCTACACCTGCCACCTTGATAGAATACTTCTCTGAAGTCTCATGCCGAGCCTACACCTACCACCTTGATATGATACTTCTCTGAAGTCTCATGCCGAGCCTACACCTAACACCTTGATATGATACTTCTCTGAAGGCTCATGCCGAGCCTTCACCTATCAGCTTGATATGATACTTCTCTGAAGTCTCATGCCGAGTCTACACCTAACACCTTGATATGATACTTCTCTGAAGTCTCATGCCGAGCCTACACCGATCACCTTGATATGATACTTCTCTGAAGTCTCATGCCGAGCCTACACCTAACACCTTGATATGATACTTCTCTGAAGTCTCATGCTGAGCCTACACCTATCAGCTTGATAGAATACTTCTCTGAAGGCTCATGCCGAGCCTACACCTACCACCTTGATATGATACTTCTCTGAACTCTAGGTAAACTGGAACTTACCATACATATCTTGCATTAAGCATAGGGGGTCAACACATTACTTCTGACCCCCTATCACGGAGTGGGCTTATCACAGAACAATGAAACATAAACGAAAAACAGCAGGCTTCTTACTAAGGGTTTTTGACTGGATGATTTGATGATTATCTTTTCTTTTTTTGTGTTCAAAGAAAACACAATAACACTCTATCTAGATTATCTTATATTTAATTGACAGATATCGGATAGTTACAGGCATAGCTGATAAAAACAGAATTTAACATGAGA